CACCTGAATCACAGAAAGGAAAAAGATCCACCCCATGACTCTCAGCCAAGAGGAAGGAACAACATGCAAAGCAACCACAAAACCAAAACACACAGTCAGGTTAGTAGTATGAAGAACAGAGCAAGCAAAAACAAAAAAGGATGCACTCTTGAGGTTATTCAAAGCCACATGTTGTTACAGCTCAATGCCAAGAACATTCTTCAACAGCTCCTCAGCTGGAGGAAGGATTCTTCATGCTCTCAACTGAGACAAACAAAACCCATCCTGGAGGACTCGGACAGCCCTTTCCCTTCATTTCAGGGCATCAAAATCCTTCAGGCAGCTTTGAAAATCTTGGCTGTTGGAGGTGTCCACCCGGCAGACTACACTGCAGAACAGAATTACCCAAACAAGCCTCACTATCGAGAGCGGAAGCCTTTTCAGCAGGGCGAACCAGGCCCACACTTACTGCTGTTTCCAAGAAGCTCAGATCAGCGTGGGTAAGTCTATACTGTGCTGCTCTCCGCAGGGTGAGCACATCCAGACACCAGCCAGTTCCATGTCTGGAGCTCCTGCTGAGCCACGGGGAGCTCTGCGAGGGAGCGGTGCATGGGGTGTGCCTTCAGGACATCAGGAACCCCTCACTGGTGGGAACTGCAGCGCACCAGGAGCGAAGGCTCACAAAAACGTGAAGGCACCTGGGCTAGCCTCCCAGTACCCATCACGTCAGCAAGTGTCTTTCATCGTGATGGGCCATGAGAGAATGTAAGGGTATCACAGCCCTCCTGGGCCAGCTGCCCCAGAAGAACGAGCTCTGTAAGCAAATTCCCCACCGCATGCACCAGTCGCCAATGTTACGCTAAAAAAATTATAACGGTGAAGACAACTGGGTAGGATCAGGAAAAAAAAAAAAAAAAACGAATGGAAAGAAAAAAATAATAATCCCTCCTTTGCAGAAACAAGGCTTTCTGCTTCCAGCTTCAAGATATCTGAGCACCTCCTCAACTACTGAACAGGAGAAGCAAACCCATCATGTAACTGGAAGGCGGGGGAGGAGGGAAGGGGGTTAAAAATAAACAAAAAGTTTTATGGGATTATTTCAGAACTTATCGTGCAGATCAGCGCGTTAAGTGTGAGACAGCTCAACGTGCAAGGTTTGGTTATATACATGACGTTAGCCTTGGAAAGGAGAGACTTCAGGGGCCCAGGTCAGCTATGCTTTCAGCTCCAACCCCAAATACACTCTCATCATTTCCACTGCCACTTCCAACTTGGAAGACTGGCAACCACAGTCCTGGTGGAATTGCCCAACTATGGCTCATGCGTACACTCTGAGACACGCCTGGCAATCCCCCTCCCTTTGCTGGAGAGCGAAGAAACAATCTGGACAGACCCCAGCTCTGCCCTGGAGGTGGACCAGGAAGGCTCTTCTGAAGGAAGCCACCTCCAAGAAAGGTCAGGGAGCAGGTGGGAGGTCTATGCTGGAGACTTCATGTTCATTAAACTCTCTGCTGCTCTCTTTGAAACTGGCTCTTTTGTCAGGTGCTGCCAATTCTCAGAATTGAAGGAAGGCAGAAACATCATTGCTAGATACAACATCCAAGACAGTAAAGAGAAAGACTCATCTTGAGCTCAGTGAGTCTTGGATCAGGACCCTCCCACCAGTGCCTGAAAAGAGCAGAGCCAGGAATAGCTCATTGTCTGTGCTCACTGTCAACCCTGCCCAACCGCTTTCAGAGAGCAATCCCACAGCACAGTGTAAAGTAACCGGGACTAGTCAGAAGGCAGCTGTAACCATCACCTGCTCTGCTCAGCTGGCGAAGGGCTCCTGTCACTTCCCGACCTCTCAGGTTACTTGCTATTTTAAAGGCAAAAACCTAGGGAAATGAGCTGGCAGACTGAGGATAGATAGCAGCCTGACACTGCTCAACTTTAAGCATGAAGATGGATACTTTTCACATACACGAAGATGCTTCCTACCAGGTTTTCTGAATGAGATTGCTTTGACCAATGGCACGAAAAACACAGGGCAGGAATGTGGCTTCATACTCCTGCAGTGGCTGAGAACCTAAGAACTTTGCAGCTACCACTCACAAGAAGCAGAGAATATTCTCCTATTCTTTTAAGGTGAGCAGAAACCTTTGAGATCACACAAATAATCAATGGCAGAGCTGGGAACAGGACTCGGGAATCCCTGAGCACCTGACAGGGCACTGCTATTGCTCTGCCTCCAGCAGAGCAACATTTCATCCCACCTTGCCCTACCAAAAGAAAATTATAACAATAATAACAAATAAAAATGCCGTAAACTTAACTGATATTTTACTGAAACTTAATAAACCTGGCCGTAAAATTGAGACTGGAAGGAAGGAAATAAAAATAAGCAAACAGCCACAAACTCTAGTTCTGAAGAGCACTGGTGTCTTGGAAATCATGAGGAGCGCTGGAGATGTCACTTACAAGATATACGCTGCTATGGGCACAGGGTATTTTTACAATATATGTGCATATCTAAATGGTAAATATGTCTTGCCGCTGTTGTGGATGCAAAGATAAATATGCGCATACCAATGACCCTGCATGTTTGGATGCATTTGTATCAGAGGCGTAATTGCAGAGCCCTATGCGCTGCTGCTCTGCTGCATCAGCACTCCGCTGTCTATGTATTAGCCATGTATGAAAATTACGATGGCCCAAACTCTCAGAAACAAGGCTAAGAGGGGCTGATGCACTGGCGTGGGAGAGGAGGCAGGAAGGTGAAGAGCCCTGAAAATTAAGACTCTGGTATCCTCCATGGAGACAAGATCCAGTAATACAAGTCAAATCCTTCCACTAGAGGAGGCTCCATCATAAATCTAATCTGTCCCTCTGAAAGGCTCCATTATAAACACACCAAAGGTTTTCAGTGGTCATAATGTGATCTGGGGCTTCTCAAGAACTGAGAAGTTAACAACCATCTTTGAGCTTGTGAACCCAGGAGGAAAGGGCTCTTATCTTGGCATGGAAGTCCCTTGATGCTATTGTGTGTAGACAATAAAAACCACCAGAAAAACCAACACTTTTCATGACTTGTAGCAGTGTGGAACAGTGGTTCATCTTCAGCATCCAGACATCTTATCAAACCCAAGACCTATCAACACTATTCCTTAGTGTTGAGTTTCTATCAGGGCATCACCAGTTTCAGAAAGAGTGGTGGAAATGTTTAAACAAGCCATGGCACTCAGCTCTTGCCGCTGGGTGAAAGCCTACATCAAAACAATGCCTGCAAAGAGATCTCTTCCACCCCTAACATTTCTGATGAACAAAACCCACTTCAAGTTTGCCTTCAATTTAAAAATCTTCACAAGCTTGACTGCTGGTATTTCTTGCACCACTTCTCCAGCTCTTCAGAGAGCTGCTTCTCCAGCTTCTCTAATGTCTTCTCTAACGTTTTAACAGACTCCACTTCCACCTCAAATTTTCCAGGACCTCTAACAAGTCCTTTTCTCTAAAGTATCTGACAATTCAAACAGCATCAAGAATAAACAAACATGGTAATGGTGTTCACTGGAGCTGGAATCAAGCCATCCTCATATCACCTACCACCAATGAGACAGAGATCCAGCACACTGAACCACTGAAGTCAACTTTGGTCATGTATACAAGACTCCTAGCTGAAGTCAGTGGCAATGATATATATGCATTGAGAGCACAGAATTTAACCCCCCTGTAACTTTTCCTTGTGTTTCTACCATGGCCAAAGATGATGGAAAAACTTGATGGACTATGTAACTCCTCAGCTGGACAAAGCCACCGAGTTTGATAGCAGGTCTAAAAGCCTGGACTCACCCACCAGGACATTTGTTCTTTTTCACTTGCCAACCAACACTCAAGACAGTGAGACCATGATCAGAACAGCCTCTCTGCTGAAGCAGGATCCTCTCCAGTGCTGTGCTCTGGACAAGTGATTGCCACAAATGGAGGAAGGCAAAGAGAGAAGATACAGCAATCAGGCCTGTGCCTCATGAAGTACATTTCCAGACAGCATGATCCCCTCCATCAGCAGCTTTGAAAGAAGATTTTTACAAAACAAAAGGGTGAGCAGGAAAAAAACAGCTCAGGACAATTTTGGCTGCTCTGCATGGAAGATTTCACTGGATGTCATCACCTGTGTGTGGCCCTTGAGGAGTCTGGTTGGCAAAAGGTTCTGCCCACATAAAATAGCTTTCATTTGCCATGTGGTTTTTGTGCTGAGATTGTCCAGGCAATCAAAGTGAGGATGGGGAGTTGTTAGCCCAAATGAGCCAGACATCTCAGCTTATTTGAACATCTGGCTGATAAAGCCCAACTGTGCATATTCAGGATGAAAAGGTGTTTGACATTCAGGCCTGGGTGACTGAGGATGGGGGACCCTGCTTTGAACGTGCCAGATGGCTAGACAGATGCAATCCTTGCCCTTGTCAATGTGTGGCCAATCTCTTTGACTGACTGTAGCCATTCACCGATCTCCAGTAACATGGGCATCAGTGCAGAGAACAGATGGGTCTGCGTAGCCACAGCAGAAATGAATTTAGCTCCTGTCCCAGGTCCCATCGCATCCAGTTCCACCTCCTCTTCCAATATCATGGCCCTCCAGGGACTACATTGCTGGTCGCTTCTTTCTCATGACCTGTCCTCTGCCTAATCTCTTCCTTTCCACATGTCCTACAATGTAATTAAACCAGAAGGTCCTAAAAATTCTCCGCAAATCCAGCCTTTGTTCAGGCTCCTTCCTCACCAAAGTCTCAGTTTCAATGATCTGAAAACAGAAAAAAGTCCATGGTATAAAAGGAGAGGCATCATCCATCTTAGTCCTTCACTTCTTCATCCACTTCCGACATTCCTCCCAGGGCAATTCAGCACATCCGGATGGCTCGTGGCCCTTGACACCATCCTCCAAATCTTTCACAGAGAGGTTATTTCAGATCTAGCGTGTATAGATGTGCTTCTTGCTGCTAGCACCTCCAGGACAACCTGAAGCAGGGGAGGTCACACAACTTCATATGTTCTCAGGATGTGCCTTTGCCCCACAATGTGGCAATGCAGGGATGCTTGACTGAGCTGTTACATCCGCATGGCTCAGCTGGGTAGATCTCAACCTGGGATGCCACTGTTGGAGATAAAATCCTGAGGCCCTTCCAGCTGTCTTCTCAGGAGATGACTACAAGGACATCCAAAACCACTATGTCTGCAAGATGACACAGAGACTATTGCGGTACTGACAGCAGGACTCCCTGCTGCTCTGCCACTGCTGCAGCATACAGGGAGGGTGGTGGGATCTGGGCCAGGTTAGAAACACTTTGCTTCTAGCAGAAGAAAGATCTCCATGGCCTGTGAGCTCCCCTCACACTGACGTGCTGCTTTAGCACCACTGCCACATTAGGCATGTGAAAAGAGGTCAATGTTTCTGGAGCACAGACAAGTAAGCCAGAAAGAGGACCCAGGAGCTCAAGTCTTACACGTTAATAACAAGACTGTTTGTCCTTCCTTGAAAGTGGAGTGTTACCCAGGGATTATCTTAGCTGTTTACTGCAGGGTACCGGCCAATTTATCTTTGAAACAGCCGTGTTACTGCCTGTGGGGAAGGCGAAGAAGCAGCCTCGCACTGGAGCACTATTTAACTGGGCAGGCACTGGGGAAATGCCTATTCCACTACATGCAGGCCAGATCCAAACCCGTTTAAGCAATTTGAAGCTCTTCCCTTGCTATTCCAGACCTTTGGATCCGACTCCATTTGAAGAAAGAGGGAAAGAAGGAAAGCTGTGTCTCTTTGGTCCAAGCTGGTGTGGACTGCAGGACAGCATCACAGGCAGTAGGCATCTCCCTCAACACACGCAATTCTGCTCTCTACCCTCCAGCCTTTTCTACATGGGAGTTTCAATGTCAAGAGACTCCACCTGACCAGGTATTTTGAGTGAGCTGTTTGGAAAGGATGACATTTTTAAAACTGAAGCTAACAGCAGCTAAAACAATGGAAGGAAAAGGGAAAAAAACCCAAAAAGAAAAGAATCAAACAAAATTCCTGCAAACCATCTGTCCCTGCAGAATTCTGCCGCATCCACCTGAGCCCTCTGAGCACCTCAGCTGAGCCAGAGCAGGCAGCACAGCTTGCTCACAGGCAGCCCTGGGCGAGGAGGGAGAGATGCCTTCCAGCAGTATTTCTGACCTGCAATCAAAAGCTGCAACATCTCTGCTCCAGGTGGCTCTGAGGGGCAAACCCCTAGCAAGTAACATGTCTCCTGGAAACTAAGGGGTTGTGCGCAGGGACTTCTCTCCACTGCCCAACTGAATAAGCCTTCTACCACTTGCTTCTGTGCAAGCCATCTACACGAGTCCCTGTGAGGTGTGGATGAGCTCCCCAGCACAGAGCGATCAACCACTTGCTTACCACGTTAGCTCGTGGATAACAGACTGCCTTTGCCCTCGCGCTGGGGGGTTGGTTTGGGACATCAGCCAGAGATCCACGCCGGTGGTTTCTCCCCTTGTTTGACCCTTGGCTCTGCTTTCTCCACATTCCACCCAAATCCTCCAGATCTGGGGGTGCTTCTGGGGTGTGATTCCTCTGATACCTGTTACAGGTTGGGTTGCGCTCACTACAGAAGCACATCCTGATAGCAACCAGTGTGGGGTACCACTGGCGGTCTATTTAACATCCAGCATCTCCTGCTGCTCACCATCCCCCTTTGCTCCCACATCGTTTCCTTCCTCTTAGTAGCCTACCTGATAATAGCAAGCATCATGCCCCACTGAAAGGGTACCATGAGCAGACACTGAGCTCAAAGGCACAAGAGGGACACGTTCCCACTCTCCCTCCCACCCCTAAAAAGAAAAGAGGCACACAGATATTTGTATGGATAACGAAGTACATGGCACCCATCAAGATCCCTTTTTCCCCTCCTTTTAATCAAGTCCTAATTTTCCATCGCTCTTGGGAGCGGAGCACAACCAACCGACCGCAGCCTGGGATCATTTGTGGGTCGGCCGTCCTCGTGGCAGGTACCACGCATGAACTAAGCATTGTTCTCTAGCGGAGGAGTTGAAATCTGGGCAAAGTGCTCTGTGCCTTTGACCCTCAAAACAAACAAATGCAAACCACAGCAAATGGGCAGGAAAGTGGGAAAGGGAAGGGAACGACCCATGGATTTCCCCGGATTGCACTGACACAAACGGAAAATAAAATTCACACAGAACACACTCTTGCAGGTGATCCAGATACTGTCATGTAAGCAATCAAAGGTAATCACAACAGAAAGAAAATAAAAGGATAAAAATCTACCCAAAACAACCCCCAAAATGGCATGAGTTAGGACATCCCAGAAACGTTGGGGTTTATCCATAGGGCCACTCATGCTTTCAGCCCCAGTGAAACAGAACCATTATGCAAGGACTTTTTTTCCACTTTTTTTCTCCTCCCGAAGTGCAAGCAATCCCAGCAATCTTTTTTCAGATAATTTTTCTGGTTTTGTGTTTACCATCCATGCATATAACCCCCAACGCGGCACCATCAGTCACAAGGTCTGATCACATTGCTTTTCCAACAAAAAACAGAACAGGGAAAGGGAAGAGAAAAAAAAGAGAAGACAAGAGAAAAGACGGAAAAACCAAACAAAAAAAAGGCAAAGAAAACAAAGTACCCCCACAAAACAACCCCAAAACCCAAACCCATCTCTCTTTTTTTAAAGACCACAAAAGTGAGCCAACCAAAACCAGAAAATAAAAAACTGAAATAACCAAAAGGAGAAAAAGAGAAAGAGATTAGAGGGAAGGGGGAAAACGAACAAAAAACTGAACACTAATGACCCAAAATAAAAAAAACCAAAAAACTAACCAGCTGAATTGGGAGTTGAGGGTGAGTTAGCCTGGCTTCCATGGGCTGACACATTGGTAGCCGTGACAGCCGTTTTGGCAGCATAAATATTGGCTTCCTCTTGAAATTTACCTATGTTCTTCTTGTACCGGATTCTCTTATTTCCAAACCAGTTTGATACCTAGAGTGAGTTTAAGAGAAGACAAAGACATTAACGTTTCGACTCTGGAGATTGCAGCTGGATGAGGAAGGTGGATTAGTTCAGGTTAAGCAGTGCATATTCTTCCCCCCTCCCCTCCCGTTTCCTAGCTGTGGAAGGAAGACCTTCTAACTGCGCATGCCAGACCAAGCCCAGGAAAGGTGGTGGGACCCCCTTGGGAGGGCCAGGTTTGTGTGGATGCGTCTGGTTCCTCTACGGATGGGACGTCCACTAAGGGGATGCTCCACATGAACCACTAGACCCACCCCACAAAAATATCAGATGGGTTTAAAAAAAACTGGGAAAGTGAAATGACCCTGAAATCACACAGTCTGAAAATGAGTATATGTCATTTTGGAACTTTTTATTTGCCTCCTCCTCGGTGTCCCTTTGACAGGGACAGATGTCCCGATTCCCACATGCCCCTTCTCCTCCCCTTGGAGAAGCCAGTGTAGCTTTCAGGGAAAACGCCCAACGAATTTACTTGGGCCTGGCTGACACACAAAATTGCCTTGATATCACTGAAGCTCTGCTTTTGATCCACCTGAGTGGAATCAGTGCAAAAGGCCGGAATTGGATGCTCTTCACCCAGCTAAACTTGGCTTTGTATGGTTTACCATGGGCCACTACATAAACCAGGAGCTTCAGGGGAAGGCCGGACAGGGAGCACAGGGCTTGTTGTAAGACCTAACTTTGGTCCCAGGGAACAAGTGTGTCCTACGGAAAGGGGAAGGAGATGTTTCCACTGTGTTTGCCCAGAGACCAGTATGGGCCTGATGTGTCTAAGTGACTAGAAGTGTGCTGAATGAGGCTAGTGGATTTATTTAAAAAAAATAAAGAAGCAGGCTGAACTTCTTCAGAAGTCATGGGGATGGCTGAAAATGATGGGCCAGATCTGAAGGCAGAATGAAGCGGTGCAGCTCTGCTCATGCCAGCCCTGGCAAAAGCTGTTTCCCTGTGCCTGCAGCAGTGCAATGCATTAACCTCAGAAAGCCCCAAGGAGATGTCCGAGCAGTAATCCTCGCAGACTGTCAGGGTGGTATCCTGGGATCAGTCGTATGAATGCTTGACAGAAAGATTGCTTGGACAACCTGCCAGGTGTCTGGATAAATACCCCAAAGTTTGCATGTCAGAGGTTCAGCACAGTGATAGGATAACTCTGAAGTCTGTGAAACCAGGCTGTGGTATCTGGCCAGAACTGCTTCCCAGGGAAGATGTCAGGGTACCTCCTGAACCACCATGAACTCAGCATTCCCAAAATCCCGTTCAGTACCCTGCTGACGATAACCCTCTTCACTTGTGGGCACTATGTCGCACCGAACAATGTCAGAGAAGATGTGGGAAATATTCAACCTACAGTTTGGGAAGCAGCTCTCAGCTTCTTCTTTGACAACACTGAACACAGAGAATCAGGGGAATGCCTTCCTACATGCAGGTCTCTAAGCAGAAAACAACGTCCAGCCGCTACTGACCTTATTTGAGAAAGCTCATCAGGATGAAGAGGATGGGCAAATGCCAGAGGATGCTGCAGCTCTCCCAGAAGAGCTCCAACACTCCTAGGATCACTTGGAGCTGCAATCTTGAGCTAGCAAATCACCTCTTTGGTGGGACTCCAAGGACATTCTCCCTTTGCTTGCTGGTGAGCAAGTACATCAGTGCTCCCCCTTCCAAATGGACTGCCCAAGCAGCAAGACACAGAAGACAATACTGTTCATCCTGGGAAGCTCATTATTTTTTCCTCATCTTAGGGAAGTTGGTTTGGCTTGGATGTTGATAACTGAAACCCATATGCTTTTATTCCTATGATGTTTTCTATCTTCAGTCCTCGTAGAGATTCAGCAGCTTCTATACAGAAGTGGCTTCATCCACCAATTCACCTGCTACTGAACTGCACGTATTCAATCCTGCACTGCTGCAGAGCTGGAAAAAGAAAATATAACCTGCAGAGACTCCCAGGAGGCAAAAGGTAGCAACTCAGATCAGCACCCAACCCAGATCTGGGAGCGAATATTTTGATGGCACCAGGAGCAGGTGCTGTTTGTGAGGAGCTCCATTCCACTTCTTGGTCCAGCTCTCTCATTAATGACAATGTGCTCCTTCATGATCTTCCCACCTGGCGATCTCTCTACAACAGCTATTCTGTCTTCAAATGCTGGAGCTGGTGGGTGAACTCCTCTGAGCACCACAGGGAAGGAAGTCAGAATAAATGGCCACCACAATCCATCTTCATCTTAAAACTTGTGAAGCAAAAAACCTGCCAACCCCAGTCAGCCTTTGAGTTCAGGTGAACTCTGCTCATGACTTGCACAGATTCATGCTGTCCCATGTTCCCACTTAGCCTCAGCAAAAAACAGAGACTTGGATGTGTGTTTGTTTCTACCTTCTTTGGACGAAGAAGGGAGGGAGATCCTGAAGACAGACACAATGCAGCCTTGATACAGCACGGTCAAAAAATATCCTAAGTGCAGCATTTCTCCTGGGCATTTTCTCTCTGCGAGGGAGAAGTTGTAAGTGCGAACAGATGAATTAAAAGTGAGAAGGGAAGCATCAGGACAGCTGTAGTTTTACTTAAGCCAATATGGGCTGTCTCTCGTAGGTAACTCTGGGCAGAATCAATGTTTGGGTCTTCTGACCCAGGGGATGCAATCGGAGTCGCTCAGCAGGCATTCAACA